CTAGACTGGAGTGTCGAAACGTTGGGTCTTGATTACAATTCGACTGGGCTTTGTAATCATTTATTTAAACCAGAGTAGCGAGCGAAACATGATTGTATTCAATAGATTAATATTTAACCCATATGTAGATTGCGACATGTGCCCAGCGTCTCCCATCCCAGGGCTTTTGGGGTGAAGGCCCTGGGTATGTTGGTGAACACTCTGTTCATTGTCATTAACCTTGGTTGATGTTGCATAATCTCATTTAGCTCGCAAACTATTTTTTCCTCTTTTCTATGTGTGCAAACAATTTATTTGCACTTTTTTGTCTTTGCAAACAATTTTTTTAAGAATTTTCCACCCCCCCTCCAAAAAAATAATGGTCCGTCCCTTACGTTGTATGCCATATACACAAATCAAATCCAAACCTGCCCATCTGTTCCCCCCAGACAACCAGGGATTGATCACCTCATGGGTGTTTGTTACAGGTGATGTTGGTAAACTGTTTAATTTGGCATCTGGCTTCAAACATTCACCTTAACCTGCCACCCACAACAAACACTGTGAGTTAGTTAATCTGAGGCAACCTTGTGGCATTTTGACTGTCAAAGTTCAGCCACATTGATATGTTGCATGAAAACTTTTGCAGGAATGTGGGCATTTGAAGTTAACTTCATATCATTTCTATCTTATAAAGTCAGATTGTAGGCCTAATAGTCGGGGGTTGTAAAACTAGTGATAATTTGATAATATGCTAAAATTTGTACATGCACATTATGTTTAGATTTTTTGCATGCCATAAAGTGTAAAATTTTGTCATATTCTGTGTCATACCCCAATGATTTTTCAACCAATATTGTCATGCTACATTGTATATATTTTTAAAATTATTTTGCAAATAGCTCAATACAAATGCACACTGGTTAGTCCAGTAGTTTATATTGCATTGTACATGTACCATAATAAACTCTTTATATTGCATTGCACCATAATAAACTCGTTATTTTACTCAATCTAACGCCAGACTATTTTACTCGTCAAGGGAGAATGCCGCCACTCAATAGCATGAGTATTGACTTAATGTGTTTTATGCCTGAAGTTTGGATGTAGCGGTACATATGGAATTTGTAGATTTTAACATGTCTGTTGGAAGTTTAAATAATTTATGCTTTTATTATACCACGTACAGTAAGCTACCCTGAAAATTTCTGCCAGACGACAAACCATGATCATGAAATTACTATTTATTTACACCTTGGAAATTTAATTTCTAGTGGTATATCTGGCACACCATTATATTTGAGGTACCATACTGTACACCAATTCCACTACGGTTGGTTGGCATGCCTGTAGATTTTATATATGTGGAGATAGATAATCTTTGAATGAAGGTATGCATAGAGATGATGACCACTGAGCGAATCAATAGTAGAACCCTGGGATGGATCCTGAAATCAAACTCCAACTGTTGCGAAAGATCATGCCCCTGTGGCTTTTGAATTTGGTTCTGTAGCTATTTTAATCTTATGTTAATTAACAATTATTTGCCGAATATAAATAAGGTTATTATCGGGGATTAGTATTTTTGCACAAGTGAACATAACAAATCCTACAAGTTGATTGGTCAAATTTGACGTATTCACCGAAAGGTGAATATAACAATTTAACCGAAATTTTCAAAATGGCGGTTAGCCGTTTTGTGGAAGTTACTGATAAAGAAATAAGCGAAATTAAAACAAATTCAGTCTCAAAAACACAAAAGACTTGTGTAAAAATACTAAAACAATTATTCGCCTCAGGCTCGTTGATTATCGCGGGGAATCTTCACCTCGACTTTGTCTCGGTGAATATTCCCCGATAATCACCTCGCCATCGGCTTATAATTGTTAAATTATATTCTATTCACCGAGACGAAGTCAAGGTGAATATTCCCCAATAATCACCACTTGAGGCGAATAATTGTTTTAGTATTTTTACACAAGTCCTTTGTGTTATTTCGCACTGAAGTTATTTTAATTTCTCTTATTTCTTTATCAGTAAACTTCCACAAAATGGCTAGCCGCCATTTTGCAAATTTTGTTTTTTTTGTTATACATGTATTCATGCATCTGTAGGTGAATACAGCTATTTCAATTAAGGTTGTCCCTGAGCAAAACAGAAAAGTCGAATACGATCGTGAAGGGCTGCTGGGAATCGCTAAAATATTCATTAATTTTTTAGAAATTCCCAGCAGCCTTTCCTGCTTTGCTCGGGGACAACCTTAATTGAAATAGCTGTATAATTATAACATCTTAATATGTCAAATTTGACCAATCACGATTAGGGTTGGGCGATATTAAAAAAATCATCTCACGGTTATTGTGAAGGAAATTATCACGATATTCGATAATATCGCGATAAATGCAATAAAAACAATGACCACATTTTTTCATTACACCACATTTTTTCAATTTTAATTAACTGTGTCTCCGCTGGCACAAATACCATGGGCACACAGCGCAAGCAAAGCCTGCAATTTCATTGTTCAGCAGTGAGATTAATACATAAATATTAACTTTTGTATCGTATTAAATAGGCCGTTTGCTGCGTCCTGATATCGTTCACTTTCATTAAGCATGTCTTGGAACTGAAATATTTTACGGGAACTAACACTTTCAAGCACGCTGAGTTCGAATCCGAAAACTTCCCGCGCCGTAAACCCGCAGTTTTCTCACAAAATGCTATTTTATCTTCGCTAATTTCACAACAAATTTTTTCATTGTTCAACGACACGGATCGATGACGCCACACGATTATATCACTCAAAACGACCAATTTCTATTAACCAGTCTTCCTTTTAACAAAAGACCGGTTTTGCCCGAATTATTTTGAGTTATGTAATCTTATGCGTGTTGCACGTAAACAACATATCTTGTCTACAACTTTGAGAAGGTACAGATAACGCCTTCTAAAATCCTCAGTTCTAGCGATATCTCTGTAAAATCACAAGGACGTTAATGCTAAGTCTTTTGGCTATATCACTGGCCTGAAAATAACTAATTTAACGCGATCAATGTATTTAAAACAAAAGTAATGCGAAGCCAACGTAACGGCAAAGACAACGCTAAAGTGAAATATTGTCGATTGGTTGCTAGTAGAAGACTTACGACAGGATGAATCTTAAATAACCTTAAACTAGGGGGATAAATGTTCATATCAAAGACAAAGACCAGTACCAAGGTATAACATCTGCTCTGTAAACTTACGACGAAGTGGAGAAATGTGTGCATAAGCTGTTTATTTGGTGATTTCAACGTATATGGCAGCCCTCTTTCCAATAATATTCGCTTATCGCACAGAATAACACCAACTGATATAATAGTTCAAATGCAATGATAAGTTACCTCTTGAATTACATCTCAGAAACTGTGTTGGAAATGGAGATGCTGACCAACTCCATAAGATTACCGTTTTACATCGTTGTATAAAACATTTTGCATGTAAGGAATTATTTCTCATCCCAGAGATATAGCCCAACGACTTAGCATTGACGTCCTTGTGATTTTATCGAGGTACAGCCAGGGGCCGGTTGTATAAAACTCTTAATCACTTTTTTAATCACTATTTAATTTGTAGTTAAATAGTGATTAACTCGCTAAATAGGCGCTTCTTATTGGATGACGTTTCCACTTAACTATAGTTAACTTTAATCACTTTTTATACAACCGGCCCCAGAACTGAGGATTTTACAAAGCGATATCGGTACCTTCCCAAAGTTGTAGACAAGATATTTGTTTACGTCCTACACGAAACTAACTCAAAATAATTCGAGCAAAACCGATCTTTTGTTCAATGTAGAGACTGGTTCATAGGAATTAGTCATTTTGAGTCATGCAATCGTGTGTCTTCATCCATCCGTGTCGTTGAACAATGATCAGAAAAAAATTGTTGTGAAATTAGCGAAGATAAAATAGCAGTTTGTGAGAAAACTGCGGGTCTACGGTGCGGGAAGTTTTCGGATTTGAAATCAGCGTGTTCGAAAGTGTTAGTTCCCATAAAAATATTTCAGTTCCAAGACATGCTTAATGAAAATCGTTTTCTAGGCACTTTTCGAGGTCACAGCAAACGGCCTAAAATTCGTACTTAATTCAGGAAATAGTTTTAATTCTTTTAAAAACTATATATTTTCTAGGAATTGAAAGAATTTTTTAGGATTTATAACAGCTATATATACACATAGATAGATATAAACTTTATTTATACACGCTGGCTGACCCCGTCAACCGAAGCTGATTTCCACGGGGGGCGTGTGCAAAAATAGAAAAATGTTACATGGAGATATTAAAATACTTAAGTTTAAAAAGGTAGAATATTAAATTATTTACATGATAAGAAGGTTATTAGAATATTTACAGTT